CTTGATGTTCCTGAACGAGGCCTCGCGAGCCCCAGTACAGAGAAGCCAGATAGCCTGGTTCACACGTCGGAGTGGCGACACATCCACGGCCTGACGTCGGACAGTACCAGCACGACCAATACGCGTGGAGTCTTCACGAGGACCGCTGTTAATGATGGCATTCACCAACACTTGCAGGGGGTTCTGAAATAATTCAATACACATGTAACTTATTTAAACTTAAAAAAAAAACTCCAGGCTGTGCCTTGTAACTCAAAGTGTACACTTTATTTTCTGCTAAGGAATGAATGTCTTGTGGTTAAATATTTGATGTGTGCTTTAAAGCCTCCTCATGTTTGCAAACATTGCAATTCAAAATATTACAAAAGACTCCTACTATTCAGGTTTGGTATTCCCTTAATTAACAGTCTTCTCCATCAAAACTCACAAGCCTACTGTCCAAGGTATTAGTTTAATCTGGACATGGCTAGTAAAAATTGTCAGAAATAGCCAGCCAGTGAGTGAAAAATTCGCCAGTAGCTAATCTGAAACCTCAATGACCACACATTCTAGCTTAGTTTAAACCCTGTTATCTACAAACCAAATATTCTTAAGAAATAAACCATGCTTTCTGTATACTAGTATCCTAAAGCAAAATTTGAAATAACCTAAATGTTCATACCAATTTTCATACCAGTTCATGACAAGAGTCTGTAACTAATGGTAATGTGAAATGCCCTTTGGACCATCAGAGATCAGATATGAACAAGTTACACTGGATTTCAAATGAGCCAAAAATGTAAAAAGAAGAAAGAGTATCTATTTCCTTGATTAAGTTTCATAATCTTGACTTTATGCTTCTCTAATTCAGGCATTTCCTACAACCATTTCTTGCAAATTAAGCTGTTTTAAATCAAGACAATGAAGATTTACCTCTCCTGTGAGTAAGTGGATGATTTCGAAGGCGTGTTTGACAATACGAGCCGTCAATAGTTTCTTTCCATTGTTCCTTCCGTGCATCATGAGTGAACATGTCAGGCGTTCAACAATTGGGCACTGAGATTTTCTGAATCTCTTAACTTGGTATCGTCCCGCAGAGTGGGGCAAATATTTTGCATACTTCTCTTTGACAGCAATATAATCCTACAAAACATAAGAGTAAAATCAAAAGCTTCAGGATTACCATATCTTATGCAATGTGTCATGGCATCAGAAAGGTAAGTTAGCTTAAGAAACCCAAAATTATTAATTTTACTAGTGAATAAAAATCTACCATGTGCACTATATATATTTTAAGAATAACTCTAATTCATGGCCAAATTATTGTGGTATAATGTGGTTTGGGTCAGTTTATGCTTTATAATCAGCGAAGCGCATTATTAAACAGCATAAACTGACCCCAACCAGGTTATACTCAAACAATTAGGAGAAGAAATATTATTTTTTTATTTATACAAAATTTTAATCACACAAAGTGAATGGGATCGGGCAGCAGGCAAAGCCTGCCCTCTCCCAAAGAATTAGAGTCATTCATTTCTAATAATTTAATATTTTAATCATAAACAACTGTGGATATAAATTTTTTTTTGCTTTTTATTAGTTTAAATTTGCCACTCAATAATACAACTGTAGTAACGGAAGTGATGGGAAGTGAGAGGAGGTAATAAATGATGCATAGACCTAGCAGTCATGTTTGTTAACATGAGGTAAGATCGAGTTACTGTTTGAAGTAAAAGGTACATTTTTTAAATCTGGAATTATCAATGAATCTTGAAGACTGGAATGAGAGGATTCCATGTATACAGATGATTCAGCAGAGCTAGTCGTCAGGGGAAGTGTCCCTGTATCAAATCAGGTTATACAGAAATAATATGTGTTTCTTTTTGGATATCAACCAATCAGGGCCAGAATACAAACAAAATTAAATTCCCGGTATTCTTGTATATAATCATATCAATATTCAGTTGCAGATGAATTGCATATCTAATTTAGATAATTTGTGCATAAAGCAAAGTCTTAAAAAAGAAGGAATTTATTCACTTCTTTTATTTTATTGAATCAATTCCTGATAAATAATTTACTTTACACTCATGTTTTTAAAGATATGTGGGGAACAAAACATGCATGATTTGTGCTCTCTAGTACTACTCTAGAGCTCACAGACTGAATGTGTTAACCACTACTCTACTACATCTATGATGAGTGTCAGTGAGATTTTAACAATTAAATTTGTTGAAGCAGGTGCTCTACTAGCTCAGTTGGTAGAGCCAGAGCTGCCAACATTCTGAAATGAAAAAAAGTAAGGCGGGGTCCGAGTACCGCCTAGGCCCCCTGCCGCTGAAGATGTTTTGTAAATGGATATGCATTCGGAGTAATTTGAGGCACCTTTCCATTTTGTTACCTTTAAAACATTCACATGAATGTGATCGGCCATCTGAAACCAAAACGACCATACGAACAATCGTTGTAAGGATTATGAATTATATTTAATTATAATACCGGTAGTAGAAACTGTAAACTGCCAGTTATGAAATTTCCGGTATTATAATCTTTGACTGAGAAAAACCAAAATCAGAAAAATATAGAGAGCAATCATAAGACATATTTTGGATGCTTATTTCGTAAGACTTATGCCAAAATCATAAGGGTTGGCAGCTCTGTAGAGCACCTGACTGGAGATTCAAGAGGCCTAGGTTTATATCCTGATCTAGTCTGCAAATTTTTCTCCTCTCCAGTTACATTTGGTGCTATGCTATGCAAACTTGAGAGGCCTTCCAGGGATGAGCCTAGGTTGGTGTCTATATGGGGGAAAAACCTTTAAGGAGGGAGGAATGTGGCGGTCAGCTGGCTTCATTGCCAGTCAGATAGCTCAGTTGGTAGAGCACCTGAATGGAGATTCTGGGGGCCCTGGTTCGAATCCCGATCTGCTCCCCTGCATTTAGTTAGAATAATCTAACTGTGTCTCGGTACAAGCCCTCACCACAGTTAGAATACGTCCCATATACTTGCAATGTAGCAGATCGGAGCGGATCCGCTCCGAAACGATTTTGAAGAATATAAAATGATTTGCACTGGGAATAACTACCAAAATAATTAAAACAAACCTTTTTGAGATTGCTTATGCCTTTTGTCCCAAAAAATAATCCATATAAATACGAAAATCCAATTTATTTTCTCAACGTTTTTCTCTCCATTCAAATTACCTGCCATGTTTACATTCGGAACTCTCTAGATTGTTCCTAGTAAATGCACCATGCGAGTTATCGCCCGTGTTTCTTTTTGCTACATTACGAATACACGGAACGAATTCTATCGTTAAACCGGGTCCGTAGGACAATATCATTTTAACGATAGAACATTCTATCTACCCTGCATTTTAATCCTCTCTCGTTACATTAACAAAGATATTGTTTCGGATCAGAGTATAACACTTATACTTACTGTTAAACTGATGTCACTGACTTGGACATCATCTGATGACCATTTACCAAAGAGTTTGATCTCTGGCAATTCCACTACTGGAGCAGGTTCATCCCAGTTTTCAGCCATTGTGCCTGAAATAAGGTAAATTTTATTATCATTAAAACTTACAGTACATACATTCCCTTATTTATTTCAATTAAAATCTAGTTATCATCAATTCATGATGTTGTACAATAGAACAGTAGATATGTTTATTCGGCATTCAATATTCAGTATTTTTTAGTCAATTTCGGGAGGGGGGATACACTATATAAATTGATATTTTCTTTGAATTCAGCAGAAATATCAAGAAGCATGTGCACAGGAATCATGACTGGCAGTCAATTTTTCATTCTAAAATGACTATTGCTGAGCATCATAGTACGAAAGGGACATTTTAACACGGTTTATGTATTTACAAATGTTTGGCACTCATACCGTCAATGTGCCGGAAGTGAAAAGAAAGCACATGGGGTTTACATTTCCGGTAATGGTTCACCAAAGCCTAAACTTTAAAACCGTGTACGTATTATTGGATTCGGAATAAACAGTTAGAGGGTTCATAGAAAAAATTCACATGGATATTAAACAAATAATTTATAAGATATTTTTAACAATCTTTCATTCATCGCTTTTCATCTTAGCTAAAACTTAAGAGGATTGAACAAATGTAATTTATGAAAGGGGAGTGTTATAGATTCATCCATCATCATCACATATTCACAAATAATTGATTTACAAATTATATTGTTTAAATTCATAGGATTATCCCTAGAACTCACATAAAAATTTCTCAGTTGTAAAATAAAATCGATCAATTTGTCTGTCCTTAAAACAATACAACCATGTAAGTAGAAAATGGCGGATATTGAAGATTTTAATTTGTAGATTTTCTCCCCTCATTTTAGAACTTCGCGGCTGCAATAGCGGCATAAAGTATCATGGTTCAGTGTAGCTTAAGGAAGCTCTAAACACTCATAGGCGTCGGAACTGGGGGGGGGGGGGGGGGGGGGGGGGGGGCTTAGCCCACCACTTTTTTTCCAAATACATACTTAGTATAGACATTGAACATTGCTGCGTAGGTTTGGCCCCCCCCCCCCCCGGAAAAAATTTTGGTACTGAAGTTCGAACCTACTCCCCTCCCCCCCCCCCCACCCCCACCCCCATGAAATAGAACATTTTTTTTTTTGCTTGTCAGATTTTTTTTTAAGGTATAATTTTTTTTTCACTTAGCCCCCCCCCCCCCCCCACTTTAAATTTGCTTCCGACGCCAATGACACTAGTAGAAACTACTTTTTGGAGTTGGAGAAAAATATATCATATAAGGTGTGCATCTTAAAACTTTTTCATTTATAACATAATTTTTACATTTCCAATGTCTTTGTCCCAGATAAAATTACAAATTGTAAATGTAGTTTATTTCCCCATCAATGTATTGGAGCGGTTCCAAAAAAAACACTTGCAAGGCGGGACAAACAGCTAGACAGAAGCAGGGATTGGAGCACGTGGATTAAGGAATACCTGTCTTATTTTTCAATTTCATGACGATGATCTTTTGGGGCTGGGGGGATAGGCGGGTCAAGGGAGTGCAGCCCCTGTGTGGGATAGGCGGGTCAAGGGAGTGCAGCCCCTGGGGGGATAGGTGGGTCAAGAGAGTGCAGATTAGGGGGTCTGTGGGGGATAGCTGGGTCAACTCAGTACAACCCTAACCCTAACCCTAGGGGGCTAGGTGGGTTAGTACATAGCCCCTATATGTCCTATACGGGGTGTTTACACTGTGTTTACATTTTACTATATACGCTGCTACTACGATTCACAACGCTGCTACTACGATTTTGGCAGCGAGTCAAAAGAATTTGATTATGACGTCACGCTTCACAGTCTAGACAGTCTAGCCTAACCAGTTCAAACTGGATTTTCTGAAAACAATAACAAAAGACAGATGATAACAAGGCAATTTTATTCAGAATTCAGAAATCTATTCTCCAAATGTTGTTTTTCGTGTCAGCAATAAAGGGAATGCGACAATATATATACACTGTATAAGTCTCTGGAAGAATTCCTTGTTTCTTTCTATGTTCGAATTCACGAAAACAGCTTTCAATCTGGTTTTTCCATCCACTTTCCTTACAATAACAACTGAGCACCCATTTGTATCTTTGATAAAATAAATAACCATTTTTTCTCTTCAGACAGTATTGGTCCTCTCTGGTGTCATAATCTTCAGGATCCAATTCCACTCTTTTTACCAACCACACTCTTTTTTGGTATCTGGGACTAAATATTCTATGGCGTTTATAAAAATCCTGGATCGCTTCTTCTTTAGTTTTCATCCATTTTCCAAAGCTTGATCCATTGACTGACCAACAATACTCCGTTTTCTTTGTCATATTTTTTATCTGCTCCATTTTTTTTTTACCTGTGTCGAATTCAGAATGCTAACGAAGTGTGAACGTCAATGTCCAGCGCTGGTTTATATACCTGCTGTGTGCCGTGTGCAAAAATACGTTTTACCTGCGTTTTCTTATATACCTGTTGCATCACCTGTAAAGGGCCGTGTGCAAAAAATATGCTGACTACACAGGTAATACTTGGCAGCGATTCAAGTTTGTTTAGGGCCGTGTGCAAAAAATATGCTTACCTATGCATTGTGACGTCATCCACTGTATAAATACAGGTTTTCTCCTACTTTCAGCTCATTCTACAGTCAGAGCCAGCTCCCTGCCTGTGGGGGGTCATGGATTCTACTAGAGAAAAACAGTTACATGCTCAACGATTATTAGAATGGAAAAAAAGGGAGAGAGAATTAGATCAAATTCTTGATGAAAATAAAGAGCGAGAATTAGAGCTTAGGAAAAGAAATGCGGAAAGATTACAGAGAAGAGCTCTACAAGAACAACAACGACAACAACAACTACAACAACAACGACAACGACAACTACGGGAGAGAGAATTAAATCAAATTCTTGATGAAAATAAAGAGCGAGAATTAAAGCTTCGGAAAAGAAATGCCATACTATTACAGAGAAGAGCTCAACTAGAAAAACAACGACAGCAACAGCAAAGGACTAGGGCGCATGAGGGGTCAAAGTTACCTATTCATTCACCACCCAAACCCAAGGCCATATCCCAGTATTATCGAGTCAAAGTGAATGAAAGGGTGCACTCTAAAAAATTTAAAGCTCAACAGGATTTTTACACTGTGATTTTTAAGGAGTTTCCAGAGGAAGAAAACAGAGGATTTGTTCGGCGATTATTCAGACACATGTTACAAACTTTCAAATCGAAAATGCAGTGTAATCCTAACGATTACCTCCGCCTGAACATACGCCACAAATCTCTGGAATCAGAGATTTGGTACGAGTTTACTCAATGTAAACATTTTAACGAGGACGTCATTTTAGACAAGATTGAAGCCGTGCAACAATCCAGAAAGGAGTTCAAACTGGGCGACGGGGGCATGGAATTTGATATGTTTCGGGTCAAGTATCCCGAGGGTAGTGGTGGCCAGAAAACCAAACATCTACAAGTGAATAAGGAGACTTTTAAGAACAATAAAAGAGCCATCGTTCGGATCGTCAATCCCTGGGATAAATTTTGTTTAGCTAGAGCCATCGTCGTCACTCGATTACACAGTCAAAAACCCGAACATCCAGACCCCGAATGGGAAAAACAATGGAAACGCATGAGGTCAGGAGATGTAAGAGCCAATGCTTGACCAGAAGAACCAAGCCATAGCCCTCATGGAACAGGCCGAGTGTGATATCACTCAAGCTTGTGGATATGCAGAGTGGACGAAATTACAACAGGTGTTAGCTCCTCAGTATCGACTGAAAATATTTCAGTTCAAGTCTACTTCGACTAAACTCACCTTAGAGCGCATCTTCAAAGGCTGGGGAGACGGAACTTGTTTGAACATATTGTTAGACGACCATCATTACGATGCCATCATATCCATGCCGGGAGTAACGGGGAACCCCTATTACTGTGATCATTGCGACGTGGGGTACAGGAATGTCACAGACCATCGCTCCAAGTGTCCTCATCGCTGTACCTTTTGTTTAGGACAACACCCTAATTGTCCCGATGAAGGGATCGAGATTAAATGCCAGGAATGCCATGGAATGTTTAAGAACAGGACCTGCTACGAAAATCATTTAAGACCCCATAGTAAGAAGACCACCACTACTGTCTGCAATTTAATGGAACAATGCGAGAAGTGTCAGTCCTGGATACCTAAGAAATTATTCCCTCATCACAAATGCGGAGGACAGAAACAGTGTAAGATCTGTAAGAAAATCGTCGATACCGATCATCAGTGCTACGTACAACAGAAGCCCCAGAAGAAGAAGAAGGGGAAAGGGACCTTAGAGTTTTACATCTATTTCGATTTCGAATGCACTCAGGAAACCGGCATTCACATCCCTAATCTGTGTGTGGCACACCGCGTCTGTCAACATTGCAGTCACTTACCCATAGACCAACCCTGTCCTCATTGTCAACACATGGGACCCCGTCAGCACCTATTTCAAGGACCAGACACCTTAAAGAAGTTCATGGACTGGTTATTACAACCCACTACAGGTACTAAGAATTCCACTTTAGTACACGACGAGGCCATTATCATCGCCCATAACTTCAAAGGCTACGACGGACAGTTCATTTTGAATCACCTGGTGCATTCCTCTTGCCTGAAACCTAACGTCATCATGAACGGCAGTAAGATCTTATACATGGAAATATGCGGACTGAAATTCATCGACTCGTATAGTTTCTTACCGTTTGCATTAGCCAAGATGCCCTCCGCTTTCGGATTCGACGAATTGAAGAAAGGCTATTTCCCTCACTTTTTCAATACGGAACAGAACCAGAATTACGTAGGACCTTATCCACCGGCAGCTTTCTACAAACCGGACGAAATGTCTACCAGCGGACGACGGGCTTTTTATGAATGGTACGACCAACAGAGGGGGAAAGTGTTTGATTTCCAGAAAGAGTTTGTAGGGTATTGTGTCTCGGACGTCGACATTTTACGCCGATGCTGTGCAAAGTTTAGAGCCACCCTCAAGAGTTTGGTCAATGTGGACCCTTTCCAGGAATCCATCACTTTTGCCAGTGCTGCTAATTTAGCCTACCGTCGACAATTCATGCCTAAAGAGACCATAGCCATCATTCCGAACCTCGGGTATCAACCGGCACGACAATATTCGGCTAAAGCCTGTCGGTGGCTCACCTGGATGAGTCAACAGACTGGATGTCACATACAACATGCCAGAAACGGGGGCGAAATCCAGATCGGAAATTATACCGTCGACGGATACCAGGAAGCGACTCGCACCGTCTACGAATTTTACGGGTGCTATTGGCACGGATGCCCCACCTGCTATCCCAGTTTACAGACCGAAACTCATCCTCATAGGACCCAATTTACTTACCAGCAATTACACGAAGAAACCCTCAGAAGGACTGGCGATTTAGAAAACATGGGGTATACCGTCCGTCCGTATATCTGGGAGCACGATTTCGATCAGCAAGTGCAAAAAGATGAGAGTTTACAGCAATTTGTAGGAAACCTGGACATTCCCGATCCTTTGAAACCTCGAGAAGCCCTGTACGGAGGTCGGACCAATGCCACCCGATTATATTGTGAGGAAGGGGACATGAGATACGTGGACGTTTGTTCCCTATACCCTTACGTGTTGAAACACAGACCATTTCCCGTAGGGCATCCCGAGATCATCACAGACGAGTTCCAGGACGTGAGAAGTTATTTCGGTCTCATTCACTGTCGGGTCTTACCTCCCCGAGACCTCTATCACCCCGTATTACCTTATCGGACGGGAGGCAAGTTATTATTTCCCTTATGTCGCACGTGTGCCGAACGACAGGACTCTACGTCTCAAGATCGATGTCCACACACCGACCAGGAACGTAGTCTCACGGGTACTTGGGTGACGACCGAATTACATAAAGCCCTAGACATGGGATATACCTTAGATCGAATCTACGAAGTATGGCATTTTAAAGAAAGCAGTCAGGATTTATTCAGATCTTACATCGATACCTTCCTCAAGATCAAACAGGAAGCCTCCGGATTTCCCCCCGACTGTAAGACCTCAGAACAAGAACAAGATTACATATATCAAGTCTTCGACAAAACAGGCATCCGAATGGACATTCTCAGTATCGAGAAGAATCCAGTGAGAAGAACCATTGCTAAACTCTTTTTAAATTGTCTGTGGGGAAAATTTGCTCAACGCTTGTTATTACCCAAAACCAGATACTTGGACGAAGAAGAGGAATTACAGCAACTCTTACAAGATTCGACTCTCGACATCAAGGGCATGCAACTCTTAGTCAATAAAGAGGACTCCAATGAGGACAAGATGCTAGTGAATTATCAAGACAAACAGGAATTCGTCGAAGAATGTCCCTTTGGAAACGTGGTCCTGGCTTGTTTTACTACCGCGCATGCCCGCTTACACCTCTACGAGACTTTACAACCTTTAGGAGATCGGGTCCTTTATTTCGATACGGACAGTATCATTTACCAACATCGGGAAGGAGCCTTTAATCCTACCTTGGGTAATAGTTTAGGAGAATGGACCGACGAATTAGACGGGGATCACATCATCAAATTCATGTCGGCAGGCCCTAAAAATTATGGCAGGCCCTAAAGTCAAAAATTATGCTTACCGGACGGCCAAAGGAACCGAGGTTCATAAAGTCAAAGGAATCACTCTCAACCATCGTACCTCCCAGATCGTGTCCCAGAGACTTTAGAAAAAATGCTCAAAGGAGAAATAGAGGAAGTCACAGTCCCTTATCCCGACAAAATCCAGAGGACTCGTGATCATGAGCTCGTGAACAAACCATTAGAGAAAAAGTATAGAATTGTATATGATAAGAGACAATTGTTACCCTCTTATAACACTTTACCTTATGGTTATTGATATGTTGATATGTTTGACTTTTTGAATTAAAAAAAAAAAATTGAATTGTTTTTTTTATGTGTTGTTGTTTTTCTTCTTCCCTATAAAAAGGGGAGCAATACAAATCAAAAGTTCAGTCATGACTGAGAAATTGCTAGATCAACCCATGCGTTATCCCCAGTATGCTCGGCTCTCAAAGAGAGAAGCTACTTTTGAGCAGGGATGGCCAGAACCTCTCTTAGGAAAAATACCAGACCTAGCTCGAGCCGGGTTTTACTACAGGGGAGTGAAAGATAACGCTACCTGTTTTCATTGTGGAATGATTTTTAGTAATTGGGATCCCGAGGACGATCCTTGTGTAGAACATGCTTATTGGAACCCCAATTGTCCTTACATCAATCTGTATAAGGGACGAGGATGGGTGATGAATGTGTTCATTGCGGGTTTAGATCAGCAGG